CGAATATTCTAAATCCGTCGCTGTAAAAAGATGTGTTGGTTCCCAATTCTCATCTTAATAGTTGCATTTGAGATCATATGCCTACAGCCTGCTCTAGCTGGTTTGTCTGTCAAGTATCTTCCTGGATTTGAAGGACCACTTCCCTTTCAACTTGAAACTGGGTGATTTTTCTATTTATCTTAAGTAAATATTTAATCGTAGGGGCGGATCCACATTGAAGCTTTGGGGTGTTTGGAACATTCATTAATTTTGTATTGAACTAATAGAAATTACAAATGGTTTAAATTTAACCAGTGAGCACTCAAGCAACAAGTAGTTGATTGGTGTAGTGGTTGTTTGTGGGTGCTCAAAGTTACATTGCATCTGTTGTCTCCGGGTTTGATTCTCATTATAGCATTTTTAATTTTAAAGACCAACTCCTCTCAGGCCGCAAATATTTATATCACATTAATGGATGCATGACATATACTCTCTCCGTTCTCTTTTAGTTGTCATGATTTACTTTTTTAGAGTCAAACAATAAAAACTTTGATCAATATTTAATTATGTATTTTTTTTATCATATTGATATGCAAAAACTTGTAATTTTTAGTACTTTTCGTAAAGTTTTTGAATATCTAAATTTTTAGATTAAAATATCGAACTAATGTAATTAAATGTACCTTTGAAAAATAGTCAAATTGACTTTCGAAAAGTGCAACATGACAACTAAAAAGGGACGGAAGGAGTGGTTGAATGATTTTTTGCATTCTTGGCTTGTGATGGTGTTTGATAGGATGTATAAGAATAATGTTGAATAGGGTGTCTTAGTAATGTTAGTAATATTAGTTATGCTGATATTAATTATGTAGAGATTATCTTTATGCATTATTTGATTTAGTGTATTAAAATGATATACATTGAATAAATTTTTTTTAATTTACAAAAATTATACCTTGCATAAATATAATGAAAAGAATGTAGAAAAGATTTTAAGGGGTAATTGTGTTTTTAACCATGCTAATGCATATATTAAAATTTCTCGCATTATTAATACCATGAATTTCTATGTATACTAATTAGAGTGCATAACTATTGTCATAGCTTGAAAAAATATACCAAATAATGTACAAAATATTAAGGTGTTTATTGAGAATTAACTTTTATTAATTAAAATAATATCTACTCTATATGTAGCACCATTTATTTACGAATTCAATCTTTAAATCTATACCCATAGTAATTGTGTGTATTTGAATGTCTGAGTTCGAGCAACATAAATTTAAAAAAAAATAAACGTACAGATATTAAAACATCCATCGGACATTATCGATTACAATATGTTCTGTAATAATTTAAGGGTTTATGTGAACACCCAATGATTTAAGTATTAAAACACTTTTTTTTATACGTATTGCTACTTAAAACTCAAGTTTTTGAAATTTGATATTTTTTTATCTGTCAAATATCTTCATGGGGTGCTTTAATAATCAATAATGTATATATGAAACTCGCAAAATTAATATTGACTATTCTCAGATTAATTGATCAGGTATATAGGAGTAGGTGAAGCAGATGAGGTGCAAGTCTTCTACTATTTTATAAAGTCGCAATCTAATCCTAAAGTCGATCCTCTTATTTCTTGGTTTTCGGGAGGTCCCGGTTGCTCTGGATTGAGTTCCATTTTTTTTCAATGTGGTAAATTATTCATCTAACTTTACCCTTATATTATAAGAATTGGTTTTCTTTTTACAGATGTTTGCAACAAATTTTAACCTGACTAAAAATAAATTGCAATTACAAATAAGATATGAACAAACATAATTTTATTGATAAAAAATGTGGGTACAATTTCTTCCTTGATTTTTTTTCTCTCGGGATGATTTGATTTTGATCTCTTTATAGATATTCTATGAATTTATGGAATATACGAGATGTCTTTTACGGGAATATAATATATTTTATATAGGCATGAGCTAGGATTTACGGCTGAGTAGCCTCCAAGAATCCTAATTGAAATTGAACACACCTTGTAGAATCCAAATTCGAATAAATCACATATCTTATAGAATCTCACAAAATTTCAATGTCTACAACTACAACAGACTCTAGTTAAAATATAAAAAAATATACACTGATTAGGTTTATTATATGTATATTTATATTTAATTTCATCTATTATTTGATCTTTAGGATATTCCACAAAAATAGTTATCCCATTGTTTTTTATTGCAATGAGGACTAGGGAAGATGAAATAGAAAGGAGAAATTGGGACCGTGAGAATTGAACCAATATCATTTCTTTTAATTTTTATAAAAGAACATAGGAGTCGTTTGGTTTGTAGGATTAAGTTATCATGAAATTATAATTGTTAGATTAATTTAATTTATTTTATTTAAAAGGTGAGATAAAATAATATCATATTTGATGAGATAAAGTGGAATATTTAGGAGGGATTAAATTTAAAATTACTTTTATATTTTGTTTGATTTGAAGAGATAAATTTATACATTCAACCAAACAGAGGAAATATAATATGTTTACAAATTGCAATTGTACTAATTAGTTTTGTATGAAATCACTCAATTATGTTTTCAAGTTGTCAAATATTATTCAAATTTCTTGCTAAATTTTGCAGGACCATTATATTGGACACTAGAGCTTAAAATGGGAGCTTGCCAACGTTGTCTTTAAATCCATATGCATACACTAAGGTCAGAAATAATAGCGAAACTTATAAAAATCTCACTAATTTAGCAGCTAACAACTTTAATATATTCCAGTTTGTAATATTACGAATTTTATTAATTTTGGTGTGTTCAGATTTATCCAGATACATGTATCTCAAGATATATATATGAGGTCAAAATTAGGTGTAATTTGTTCTAGATACATTGCATTTAAGTGGATTCGCATGCTAGATACATAGACAAAATCTTGCTCGCCACTCTCCTATGTATATGGTATCCCAAATATACATGTGAATCATACAAGATACATGTATCTAGTGTTTATCTAGTGTGATTCGTATGTATATGAGATACATGACTATTTCCCTCCCCATCTTGCTTGCCTCCCTACCCATCTCGCTTGCCTCTCTCTCTCTCCCTCTCCCTCTCTCTCTCTCTCTCTCTCCCTCCCTCTCCTTCTCTCTATTTTAGTGTATCTAATAGCAACAACACATGTATATAGGTGTATTTTTCTCAATATATAATAGAAAACTCTTAACTATTGGTAAGATACATAATTATTAAAAAGTATAGGTAGAATTAGTATATACAATATTGATGTATGTCTAATAAGATAGTTTTCTCAAAAAAAATAAAAAATACTATAAATCACAATAATTTACAAGTTAAAATTATATAAATATATAACTGATTCTCCTAATTTCATCTCTACCATATAAATTGAGACAAATATAATACGGAGTAACATATATTAAACTCTTACTGACATGAACTGAAATGCCCCTAATTATTTAATTGAATTATAGGTGGCAAACATGATTTTTGTGGATTTGCCAGTGGGAACTGGATTTTCCTATGCAACAACACAAAAAGCAAATTACTCAGATGATTTACAATCAGCTGATCATTCTTATGAATTTCTTCATAAGGTAAACACATGACAAATTTATTTATTTATTTTTATTATTAATAATATTATATGTGCATAATTATCACATATTAAGATAATATTTAAATCTATTTGTCTTAATTCACCAATTTTCTTTAAGTATTTTACAGTGGTTAATTGAGCATCAAGAATATCTCAATAATCCTTTTTATGTTGCTGGAGACTCCTACAGTGGAATTACAGTTCCTATTGTTACTCAAGTTATATCAAATGGTAATTAATAAATAAATAATTCGTTTGTAATTAGTATTATAATATATAGTGTTTTTTCTTTTATAGAAAAATATAATATATTGTTGATACAAATTTTGCAATGCAGGTAATGATATGGGAATCAAGCCATGGATCAATCTTAAGGTTGGTAATCATACATGTATTTTTTATTATATGTACATTTTGATGGAAGTTAGTTAAATCAAGCTGTCTCATTTTTAATGATTTTATTCATAGTAGATTTCACATATTGATCGATAATGAACTTTTATTACTTTAATATGCTAATAAAAACTAGTTTTGTGACTTTATTATTATAGTGAGTGAAGTTAAATAACTTTATATAAAAATCAACCTGAATTATACATCTTAGTACTAAAAAAAAGATTTTATATATGGTGAAAAGAATATCTGCAACTTTTACTTATTATAGTAAAAAAAATAAACTATTATGCATTTCTGTCCAATAAATTAAATGGTATTTGCAGGGATATATTTTAGGCAATCCAGTAACATTTACTGGTCGTCGAGATTACTATATGTTACCTTTTGCTCATGGGATGGGCCTAATTCCTGATGAACTATACAAGGTATGAGTACTGCGAAATAATTTTAGAAATGCGGTGTTGTTAGATAAAAATGATAGAAATTTAATTATATATTGAGATAAAAATGTTTGATTTTAGGTAAAAAAATAATAATAATTAAACTTCAGACATATAAATTTTTAGATATTTTGTCAAGTCTAATTTTATACGCTACAAATATGACATAAGTACTGTTAATTTCAAATTCAGGTATCTATCCATTCCAATCTTTATTTTTCTTTTGATCATTCACATTTCTTTTGAATTATTTAATTTACATTAAATTATTTAAATTATTACCTAAGTATCACATAGTATAAATAAATTATATTTAACAAACTTAAATGGTGATACTTATTTTGACACGGAGGGAATAGTAAAAAATATATCTTTTAAAAGGTATTTATTAAGAGTAATTTGAAACGGAAGAAGTACAAAATACTATAGTTAATTCATTCCTTCAAATTAATGTCTCTCTAATTAAGTGTGATTTAATTTCCATAAACAGTCATTTGTGACTAATTGTGAAGAATAGTTGACACATAATCTTCCAACCAACCAACTTTGTTCAAGGGACATAAATACTTTCAATTGGGTAAGCTCTCACTCTTTTTTTTTTTTTTTTTTTTTTGTTGAAAAAATAATTTTAATTGTCAAGTTAATAATTAAAAACCATTAATATATTAATGCAGTTGACTAAGGATATTTATCAATATAATATCCTAGAGTCCCCTTGTGAACTTGTATCAAATGATTCAAGAAGATGGTTGACTGAAAATGTTCTAAAGCTCAAAAATTCTGCTACATATCCTCAAGTTAAATGTCGAGTAAGTTACTATCAATTATTTTTTTTACTTGATCTCGCCACGAGGAAACAATCTTGTTTTTACCTTGAATCCTAACGTAACTTCTACTTGAGAATAATTCGAAACTATAGTCATAAGTTGGATAAATTTGAACCTTACACATGAAATTCATATATTTTAAGTTGAAACTCTGCTAATTGTAATGACAAATATGAGACAATTCGCTAATGCAAGAATAATATTGTGTAACGTTATGACAAAACATATTATTTATCTTGGAAAAACAAGACAATTGAACAAATTCAGATACATGGACAAATTCAGATTTTTTTTTCTTGTTACTATATATTATGATATGAAAATTAGGACAGACATCGATCTAACAATTTATTTCCCCGTAATTATATTTAAGGAAGAATGGCATGACCTCTCTTTGATTTGGGCCAACGATAATAATGTAAGAGATGCTCTTCAATCTTCATGTTCGAAAGGTATGTAATTTTAATAATAATTAAAAAAAAACAAATTGAAACTTAGATATTATTTATTAAAATATCAAAATTAAATCAAATTCAGAAAACTATTGGAGCATGAGAGGAATGCAAGAGGAACTTGCCTTTTGGAACAATTATCAACAATACTATACCATATCATTCAAATCTTAGTCGTAAAGGTTTTAGTTCTCTTATTTACAAGTATTTATTAGACTATTTTATTTTCAAGCTAATACATTTTATAATAATTTTCTAAACTTATTTTTGAGGGTAATTTCATTAATAATCACTTAATATTATATTATTACAGTAAAACTATATTTTATAACGAAATGATTATTCAATTTTACCACAGTATCATAAAAACTTACAAATTTTTTTTTGGAGTAGTGGTGATCACGATATGGTTGTGCCATTTATTTCAACTCAAGTATGGATTAAATCACTAAACTATTCAATTATTGATGATTGGAAGCCATGGATTGTTGATGGTCAAGTTGCAGGGTGAATTTCTAACCTAATTTTTTTTTCAATTATTCCTTAATTAATGTTAAGCAAAAGAATAAATTGAAAAAAATATTAATTAAGTTTGATTGTTGCATATAGGTATACAAGAAGTTACTACAATCAAATGACATTCGTGACAATTAAGGTAAGAAATTATTACACTTGTTTTAATTTGTTTGTTTTAGTTTTTTTTATTTTTACAACTATTTATATCAACTTTTTGCAAGTCAGGTTTAAGATCATAAGATCAAAGAGAAATTAGTATATTATACATATCTTTAATTTAAAATAGCAAGAAATCAAAAGTTTTCTTAATTCTTTTCTTAATTTGTGTATCAAATCAAACTCAAACAAGCAAATTAAAATGAAGGGAGCAATACTTTTCATAATAAAAATTTGATTGCATATGATGTTGGCATCAAACCAATAAATACAAAATATGCATCTTTCATGGATATGTATTTATATGTTAATTAACAAATGATTAAATAGGCATTGGGCTATAGATTTTTTAATATTTTTTATTTTGTTTGGAATTTATGGAGTTGGAGTTGGAGTTGGAGAAGAAGTTGTGTTTAGTTATACTATTTGCAAAAAAAAAATTAAAAAAATTGAAATAATATTTATGTTTGAATGTATTCAAATACAACTTTAAAAGTGAAACATGAATTGAAAAATAAATTATAAGCTGTTTATTTTAAATTTAAAATACAATTTCAAGTTTAATTTGAATTTTATGATCATATACTGATTCAAATAAAATAAAAGTTACTCCAATAAAAATAAATTTATTTTATAGCCAAATGGTTCCTAGGAAATAATATCTATTAACTTACCTTCATTTTTAACTACGAACTTATTTAGTTTAGTATAAACATTTGATGCACATAAATATACATCTTACTCTAGTTCACTACTTGTTTAAATAATTTTTTATTGTCATTCTAATTAATGCCTTTTGAATACAGGGAGCAGGGCATACTGGCCCAGAATATAAACCCGTGGAAAGTCTTGCCATGTTAAAGCGTTGGTTAACCTATGAATCACTCTGATTTAAAGTATATTTATTGATAATATTATTTTTATACCATGAATTTTATTTGATTGATTATGAGAAGTTATAAAGAACTTTATTTTTGAAATTATTATATTAAGTTTGGTATGAAGCATTACCTATTGTTGAAAGGTAAGAGAGCAATTAAAAATAAAAAATGTGAGCAACTTACCTTATGATACTTTAAGCAATATTTAATTAGCTCTAATTATAGGTGGATTTATGAATTTAAATTTCGAGGGTAAAATTTATCCACACTGGGTGTTTACACCAAGTCAATACATGCATGTCATGTGTTTAAATTTATAGTTCATTTTACTTCATTAAATCACGTAATAATAGAAATTGCATTGGCTTGGTGTAAACACCCGGTGCGAGTAATTTTTTTCCAAATTTCGGGCTTCAACTTTCAAGGAGTATATTTTTAAGGAAAAAAAGACCAAAAATAAACCTCAACTAAAATATGAACAAAATTGCCCTTATTTTCATTATGATTACAAAGTCTAAACATACCCTTATTATCACTTGTAGATTGGTTCATAATTTGCCTCTCAACTAAAAAAAAAAAATTAGAATAAATTTGATTCCAAATTTGTTCTTATTATGAGTGGACTAGCTTATGTTTGCCCTTCAATACAGTAATAAAATTTATTTATTTATTTGATTAATCCTTTTATTTTAACTCCATCGTCTAGGTATCAGATCGAACCTAACCTTCTATCACATAGAGATTTTTCGAATAGAAAGCCGTCTCTAACTCTATTAACCGACCAATTACTCTTCCTCAAGTTCTCATGTCAACATCCTAATCCTTGAACCCTCTTAATAGACCATATATATGTAAGATTCCTACTAAACCATCTTGACTCAAATCCCTCCTTATCAGATATGTTCTAAATACTAAACAACTATATTAGTTCCAATATTTAAATTGTGCACCAAACCCTTGGTCATCAACTTGACCTAGTAACCACAACTTAGCAAAACAAATAATATATAATTAAAATCACAAGTATAACATAGCCTCAACTCCAAGTCTTCACTCTTAGTTGATATGCATAATAAACGTGAACAACCTTAGTATAACTGTCACGACCCGGGAGCACCCCCAAGTCGTAACAAGGCGTACTCGACCCCGAAGGGGTCTTATACAAGCCACATAGTCATTCATTGCATTCAATAATGAAAATAGTGCGGAATAATAAAAAACTTATTTACATCCACACATTTAAACTTCTTAAAACAACTTTAAAAACACACAGCGGAAGTCTAAGTTTCACATGGCCATCTTAGACACAAACAAAAACATAAGTAGGGACACGGCCCTTTACAATCAAAAGAAGTCTATTAAGTCTATTACATGAACAAAAGAACTTAAAAGTCTTGTCCTCGAATCCATGAGGACATACCAAGTCTTGGAGGAAAGCAATCCAACACTTCAAACTAGCTAAGAGGGATCACTTGCCGGAACCTACACTTGTAGTAAAAACATGAAGAATATGGGTTAGTACACAAAAATGTACTAAGTATGATGACCATGCAAAACATGCTTTAAAAAGGGACATTTTAGTTAGAAACCATGCATTATGCCACCTTTTTGAAATATCATGAACAATAGCATAAAAGACATACAAGACAAGCATAACATCAAGTAAGTCATAATATCACCTTTAAACAATATCAACATGAAAACCTTTACCTTGGACCTTCACCTCAAGAAACCCTTATGCTATACCTCGTGCAATGTATGGATGGCGTCCCATACCACCATCCATACTAAGGCACCACATTTAGGTCACTTAAAGTAACTTATCATTCCTTTCTTTCACCTTTGCACAATATTCATACATAAGAGGTATATCATTAATTAAGACATGACAAGGGAAAATAACTCGTAATATAACCCAAGTATAACATGCATAACATATTAAGCATTTAAGAGCCAACATTCTTTAATAACCTCATTTAGGGTACATTCATGTCACAGTCATTAGGATTTAGAGAAACTCACTATGACCCTCTCCAAGCCTACTCGTGCAATGTATAGGTAGCATCCCATACTACTACCTACACTTTGTAGAACCTGTCAAGAAACCATAATGAAATCTCACATGATGGGAAGTAAGCATTTAACCGACATAGACCATGAGAGCTTGTCATGGAATCCGGTGTCATGAGTCCCCACACCGAAAAGAGGTGGTCTACTTGCCTAAGGAAGACCGGTATATATAGCTTAATGGATCCACTAGCTTCCTATGCGGGCACATAGTTTATGGGATAAGGTAGACGATCATTGAAACTCATGCCTAACTGTCGGGGGAGTTTCCATCTAACCAAATCCGCTCGGTGCTTAGCCTACATTCCCATAGAATAGTTCATTACTTTGACATCATCACACATGAAAGGGTGCCATAAGCCTACCGATTCAAGGTACATTATTTAACACATGAAAGGGTGCCATAAGCCTACCGATTCAAGGTACATTATTTAACACATGAAAGGGTGCCATAAGCCTACCGATTCAAGGTACATTATTTAACACATGAAAGGGTGCCATAAGCCTACCGATTCAAGGTACATTATTTAACACATGAAAGGGTGCCATAAGCCTACCGATTCAAGGTACATTATTTAACACATGAAAGGGTGCCATAAGCCTACCGATTCAAGGTACATTATTTAACACATGAAAGGGTGCCATAAGCCTACCGATTCAAGGTACATTATTTAACACATGAAAGGGTGCCATAAGCCTACCGATTCAAGGTACATTATTTAACACATGAAAGGGTGCCATAAGCCTACCGATTCAAGGTACATTATTTAACACATGAAAGGGTGCCATAAGCCTACCGATTCAAGGTACATTATTTAACACATGAAAGGGTGCCATAAGCCTACCGATTCAAGGTACATTATTTAACACATGAAAGGGTGCCATAAGCCTACCGATTCAAGGTACATTATTTAACACATGAAAGGGTGCCATAAGCCTACCGATCCAAGGATTCAACAATCAACAATATAATCATTTATACAAGAAAATGATGCATAAGCCCTACCAATTCAAGGTATACTTTATATTGAAGAATCCTTCATATTATATCATCAACATTCATGAGTGTCATCAACACATCTATGGAATTTCCATACATCTCATAACTCAAGCTTTAAAGCATCGATTCATCAATTCTCCATAGTTGGACATTTTGTCAAACACCTTGAAGGCATGTAATGGAATCAAAGAGCATGGAAAATAGGGTAGTAATTATGCAACCAAATCAGTGAACAACCTACAACAACACCTTTACATTCATAACATGATCACATTATCTTCATTGAACTCTCATTCATACAATGTCATGATAACACTTCAATTTCTCATAATGGCTTTGGAGGATGGTAAGTTGGCTTAATCTCATATTATTGATATAATTGTTCTTGCTTGGTTTGATCCACTTATGGTGGAGGTGTTTAATTATGGATTGTATTATGAATATGGCCTTGAAGGCATTATCTATTGAATTAAAGTGTTATCAAGTTATGAAGTGTTATAGTACTATGTGAAGGTAATCTTATGGTTATAAGGTGATCTTGTACAAAGTGTTATTGTAGTGTTATATCTTGTTCTTGTGTCTAAGTATGGGAGAGGTGTTTTGGGAAATGTTTTAGAGATGGGAATTGAACTAATGGTATATAGGAAATAATATATGTCATTTGGAAGAAATGGTCCAACACTTAGAAAAAAAATGAGGCGGGTGAACAGTAAAAACGCTCACTGGAAATGGGCATAACTTCTTCGTCCGAACTCCGAATGAGGTGAAACGAAGTGCGTTAGGTAGCTAACTCAAAGGGCTTTCCATGGATATATTATTGGCCACCCAAATAATTTGTGTTCTAGGAGATATGACCCTCCAAAGTAGACCCTCGAAAAAGGCTTCACTTGGAAATTTCGGATTTTGATACGGTTGCTCTAAAATTTGGGTTAGACCCATTTCCCACTCAATTTGACCCCCTAAACAAGAATATGAAGTCGGATTTTTGAAAAACGAAACGGATCTTTTTATATACAGCTAAACAAGTTTCCGGTAACTTCCGAAGCACATTTTTAAGAACTTTTTGGGTCAAATTCAAATATAATCATTTCATTAAGTTCTCGACTCCAAACTCACATGTGAGGCTCTAGTTTCACTCTATCATTTTCCGAGTCGTTACAATAACAAGCCATCAAAGATCCTTAGAACATAATTTAACATGCAAAATTGGTCTGCACAAGAACTATCCCATCATTCATCACACCTTTCAAGTAACCTGAACCATCAAAGATCCTTAGAACATCATTTAACATGCAAAATTGGTCTGCACAAGAACTATCCCATCATTCAAAGACAAATCTAGCCATTCATGGACAAACATGTAACCATTCCACTATAAAGAAGTAAATTTGGTACACAAATTGTTAGTGTACTGATGTAGTACCCGAGCCAACTATTGTTAGTGTACCGGCGTGATATCCGAGTCAATCATTAATGTATATCTCCATACCAAATATGATATTCATACCAATTGTTAGTATATACGTACAATGCATGGTATCCAAACCAATTGTGGTAACATCCTATATCAGGCATGGTACCCGTACCAATCATTAATCACACAAATACAAGCACAATCACATGCCCTTGTAAATACAAGTAAGCAACACCCTCCGTTGCATGAGATTGTCAACATTCATCATTTAAAATCATGTTTTTTTCTTTTTTCATTTATCCTAATCATATATAATGCATGCAATATGAAGGAAACAACTGACAAGTACATATAACATAGACAAGAAAACAACAATCATCGCCTACCAAAAAGATTCATTCCCAAATATTTTTTGATCATAATCCGACTATCCACAATTTTCTTCCTAGTATAATACCTAACAAATATCATAATATCAACGATAACTAATCAAGTCCATCATCAGCCTAAATCACAGTTAAACCACACATTCAATCAATTAGACTCTGTGCCTGAAGGTCTATGCATGAAATCTCCCTACAGTCTACAAGATATTGATATAAGTAAATACAGATCTAACTACCCTATTAAAAAAATCTAGCATTCCTGCAAACCAAACAGTTGATGCAAAAGTTTGACCATGAATCTTTGACCCTTTAGTGAAGCTTTAGCTTGTACTTGGTCTAACATAATAATACAACAAGACAATCAATGCCCTAGATTCTAAGGCTCAAAAATCAAAATACAAATTAGGGGAGTAATTAACTTACCTTTACAAAAGAAATTGGTGAAAAAATTGGGGAAATTTTCCCTATATCGCCATTCCATTTCTCAAGAACGAAGTTGCAGAATAATGAGAGGTTTTGGAGCTTTTCTACACAAAAATCTGACTAACCCTGTTATAGCGGCTTGCACGAGGCAAAACTTGAAATTCTCCCCAAAAGCCCCCATTTCGCAACACACCCTCAAATCTTGACGTTATAAAATAATCCTTTCACGCCAAGTTCGATATTGGGAGTTCTACGCATTCGAATTTACTTTTGAAAAAGCCTTATGAGCTCCTTAATGTCTTAGCTAAAAGAAACCAACCCACACTTGGACATTATCATCAATCCTTTCTCATATTGTCCTAGACCTCACCTTACTCAGATTCCACCTAAGGCTGGACCTAGCCTAAAATTTTCAAGTCGATACCCAAAAAGTTTTCTTATCAAATTTTTTTAACACTGATCTATCCATAACAATAGAAAATCGTTACATTTTAAAACATGAATGAGAGGGGGGAGAAAACCACATATAGAAATCGAATTAATCGACCTAATAAATTCTGATGTCTGGATAATTAAACTAAAATATGTTTCTATGATGCATCGACTTCTATAATAACCTTGTCAATAAATAAAAAATGTCCATGTTACCTCACGTGATCACGATATTTTATGACCAATTAATAATGCCCCGCTATAATATAGTATAATATATGCGCAGAAGCAGCCATTAATTAATTAATTTACAAAATGAGACCCACAAACTTAATACCACTTGTCTATTAAAATATATATCAAGAAAGTTTATTTCTTGTCCAGTTTTATCCACCATGTGTATTCGAGGGAGAGGTTAAAATTGAAAAATATGAGATTCAGTATTTTCCATTCTCAAGTAGAGAAAAGAATGAAATACTCGAAGATGAAGTGTTCACTTCACGTTGTCTTGTTAATTTTTGTAATATTTGAGATATATCCATTTTTTGTTCTTGCTGGTTCACCTGTCAAGTATCTTCCTGGATTTGAAGGACCACTTCCATTTCAACTTGAAACCGGGTAATTTTAATACTTTCTTCGTTTATTTTTATTTATTCATTATATATTCTAAAAATAAAAAAAAACTATTCACTTGTAATGTATCAAAGTAAATATTAATTATCTGTTTTCTAGATTATGAAAAATATTCATATCAATTATTAATTTTTTTAAAGGCATATTCAAAATATACAAATAAAAGTAAACTAATAGAGTATTTCATTCACTAATCTTTCAGTTATTAGAGGCAAAATATTATTTCCTCAATAACTTTAGTATGTAACATGGAAATGTTTTTGTTTTGTTTTTTGTTTTTAAGTTATTTTTTAATTATTATTATTATTTTTAACATAAAAATGTTTGATTGGGACTAGAAAGAAAATATCTAGTCTTGGTTCCTCCATTTACAGGTTGACTTAGAGGATAAAAATATGTACAAAATATTGAATTATTTCTTGATTTCCAAATTAAATATTTATTTTTAATATAATAGATAAGTATAAATAAACAAAATATTTATGACACGGCGAGCGCGAGATCACCACTTCATATAAAGTAGCTGGCAGCGCACTTACCTTTCTCATGTTTACTTATGTGTCTACTAGTCAACACATAGGGTTACTTTATTGCAAAACATTTGAATCACACCCTAAAGTTTGTATCTACTCCTTTCGTTTTAATTTATATGACATTTTTAAAATTTTAAAATTTAAATAAATTTATTTTTTATTATAAATTTTTCATATATTTTTTAATTATTTTAGTACTCCATAATTTTGCCCAAAAGTGCACCATCCAACTTAATTAGTATTAGGAAAATATGGAGGATATGATTATGGTATTTAATGACCATTTCACCATACTATAGTAGAAGACGATCAAAATATCAAATTTGTATCATCTTTGAAAAATCAATATTCCCTCCGTTTAATAATAGTTGTTCACTATATTAAAAATAGTTGTCCAACAATATTTGTCCAATTTAGAAATCAAGAGATAATTTACCTTTGGGTCCATTTTACCCTTGTTATTACATACTATTTATCATCTAACACATTTCTCAAAACATTAAATTTAATAAAGTCAAAGAATCAAATAGTGATATTACCCCTATTATTTATTATTTCTTAAGGAATGTGTCAAGTCAATAGTGAACAACTATTGCTGGATAGAAGGAGTATCATACCAGCTACTTTTTTTTTAATCATTTCAAGGTAAGGTAAAATATGAGCTCATTTTTTTAATTATATTATGTTACAATTTCTTTTTGTCATTTTTTGATAATGCAATAACATGATTGTTTTTTTATATTGGTGATTCTTAAATTAATTAATCAGGTATATAGGAGTAGGTGAAGCAAATGAGGTGCAACTCTTCTATTATTTTATAAAGTCGCAATCTAATTCAAAAATCGATCCACTTATTTATTGGTTTACGGGAGGTCCTGGTTGCTCTCCATTGAGTGCGATTTTATTTGAATTAGGTAAGTTATTCTAAAATTTGTCTTTATATCATAATGCCTCATATTAGTTGAATTAGAGATTTTTTATCTTTTATGAGATAATTAATAGTCATATAAGTATTTATAATTTGTTTTATATTTCTTTTACATAATTAGACATATTTCACTATCATTATTATATATATAGGGAAAAGAGTCTGAAAAATACCTCAATTTTGGTCGGAATTGTTGTTACGATACCAAACTTTAATGAGGACCTATTACCCCCATAGACTATTTAATATCGTATTTTAAACATATATATTTGCCCAGCTGGTCAAGTGCGTGAAAACACGACGCATAGGCGCGTAGGGCACAAGATAAATTTTTTTAGGCCAATCATTAAATGCCACGTATCAATACAGGGATTAAACTATATCTATTTCTTTTACCTATAATTCTAATTCATTTTACACCCTTTCTCCTTCGCTGGAAATTATTTTCTAAATCCAAAAGACCACCATTGAAGGGCCAGGTAAGCTTTGTAGGGAACAAATTATTTTCTTTAATTTCAGATTATTTTTCTTGGTCTTATTTGTTCTATTGTTATTTAGGGCTTCTAATTTCTTTCCTTGATTTCTAACACAATTTTGATCTTTGATTTCTTCTTTGGCAATAAAGTAAAAGAGAGTTTTGGGAAAGAGACGGAGTGACAGTGAAGTGACTATTGATTTCCCCTTTTTTTTTACTTTTTCAAGTATGTTTATTAAAGGGAACGAAATGACTAATTTAATTAATTTAATGAATTAAAACGCGCGTGTGACACACTCAACTAATATAGACTGAGTATGGGCAAATATATATGTTTAAAATATGGTATTAAATAGTCTAGGGGGGGGGGGTAATAGGTCCTCATTAAAGTTTGATATCGTAACAATAATTTCGGCCAAAGTTGGGGTATTTTTCAGACGCTTTTCCCTTATATATATACTATTATTACTTATACTTTTAAAATATTATGTATTTTACCACTAACTAAGAGTTTCATATCATAGATTGAGAAAGATACACTTAGGTACATGTATTTTTGCTACCAAATACACTAAAATAGGGAGAGAGGCGAGCGAGACGGGAGGGAGGCGAGCGAGATTTTGTTATGTATCCGAGATACATGTAAATCACACTAGATACACACTATATACATGTATCGATATGTATCTCGTTTGATCTGTATGTATCTGGGATACCAAATACGTAGGAGAGCAGAGAGCGAGATGGGAGAAAGACGAGCGAGATTTGGTATGTATCCCAGATACATGTGAACTCACTTGGATACAGTGTATCTAGAACAAATTTGACCTCATTTATCCTGAGATACATGTATCTAGATGTATCTGGATGCACCAAAATTTGATAAGTAACATAATATTGAAAAGCAGAATGTATCTAAGTAATTAACTCTTTAACTAGTAAGATGTATGTAAGTTTTCCTTTTTTAGTGTCTATATTAAACAAAATACAATCACATAATTTTAGACGAAATATATATATATTTACTTTTTTTTTTTAATTTTCTTGCTAAAATTTGCAGGACCCATTACAATGGATATTAGAGCGTATAATGGGAGCTTGCCAACGTTGTCTTTAAATCCATATGCATACACAAAGGTTAGAAACAATAAATACATTGTAATAATGTATTTTTCTTTTTATTTGCAGATAAATTTAATATTATGACTCATTAGGATAGTCAAAACAAAATTTAAATAGATTGTTTAAAAATATTTTTCAAATTGATTAGTAACCTACAAATTACTTCTCATTAAAGTACCGTTTTAAAAAAATTACTTTCGACACAAAATAACTTTTAAAATAACCATACAAAATAATAATAATGTTTTGTTCAGTCAAATTTTCAAAATCTGTTTCTTTTATAAAGTTGTTTATTCGAAAGTAATTATTGGAAAAAATACTTTCGGAGAATAGAAGTCATTGTTTTACTAATCAATTTGAAATGTACATTTATCGAAATCAGAATAGCAATTTAATTTGTGCTCGTCCAATAATCTAAAAGTTCCAAAAAATGTTTTGGTTAAATTAAACACCTTAATTTTCTAAAATAAATACTTTTAACTTCTCGAAAATTTTGACAACTAATTAATAATGGTTAAATTATAGGTGGCAAACATGATTTTTGTAGATTTGCCAGTAGGGAGTGGATACTCCTATGCAACAACACAAAAAGCAAATTACTCAGATGATTTACAGTCAGCTGATCATGCTTATGAATTTCTTCGAAAGGTAAGTCAATTGAAAGTCATTATCGAGGGTCGTGGTGGGATAGATAAAAAAAAAATTAATTTAATCAGAGGTCTTGTTCGAACTCTAGATATGAAAAAAAAAATCTTATCAGGGAGTGTGTGCATCCTCTTACGTGGCACGAATTCAAATTAATCGGGATTCCAATATGGATACTGAATATTAGGTGAAAAACAAAAAAATAATACCTTGAAATGTCATCATTAGAATCTTTAGTGACAATTAATTAACGACAATAACTTAATTGCCACTAAATATGTATTTTTAGTGACATTTAGTATTTTTTGTAAATGTTCCTAAAGTCTATAGCCACACTGGATCCAATGACAATTAACTAATGTCGGTATATGTTTTAGCACTCTTTGTTAATGTGCATATTTATTACCGTTAAAAGTTGTATTTATTGTAGTGTAGTTATATAAAAATTTTAAATCTTTTTTATATATATATATTTTGCAGTGGTTAATTGAGCATCAAGTATATCTCAATAATCCTTTCTATGTTGCTGGAGACTCCTATAGTGGAATTACAGTTCCTATTGTTACTCAAGTCATATCAAATGGTAATAAATTAATAGTTTGTGTTAATTATTGTTATAATATATAGTTTTTTCTCTTATAGAAAAATATAATAGTATATTGTTGATGCAAATTATGCAATAATGCAGGTATTGATATGGGAATCAAGCCACGGATCAATCTTAAGGTCAGTAATCATACATGCTTTTTTCTCTTTTTATTAAGCCAAGCTCATTTAATGATTAATTTCCTGAATTATTTATTTGGTTTATTCCTTCCATTTTATTTTACTTGACTCATCTATTAAAAATATATGTTTTATTTTGCTTATCCATTTTAGCAAATCAAGGAAATTTTATAACATTTTTTCTGTATCCGGAGATTAGAAGTCTTACCCTTGAAGTGAGATAAAAATACAACTACGATTCCCGGATAAGTTATCCCGCAATTTTATCACAATGAAATATTGGATAAAATCATCCTAAAATTAATCTCGAGATAGTTATCCTTTATTTTTCCTACCAAAGTAGTAGTACTCAAATTTAAAGTCCTAATACATTATTAATAAAAGGGAAAAGGGTCTAAAATGCCCTTAAACTATGTGAAAGGAAAAAAAAATGCCCTCCGTTTATGGTTTGGCTCAAAAATGCCCTTACCATCAATACTTTGGTTAAAAAATTCCCTTTAACTATGCGAAAGGAACAAAAATGCCCTCCGTTTGTAGTATGGTCCAACAATGCCCTTACCGTCAATACTTTGATCCAAAAATGCCCTTATTGTTATTTAATGGGTTAAAAATGCTCATTTTCCAAATAAATATATTATTATTTTATTTTTAACACATTCTTTTTCTAATAATGTTTTTTAAAATTAGCAAATGTTTATCTTACTTCAATTCAGAAAAAAATAAAAAATGAAAATATTTCTAATTTTATTATCATTGTTTTTTATCGTCATATAAATATAAATTAATGATGGATATACTATGATCTTATATATATGACATATATTATCTGTCGAAAGGCACATGAAGTTATTCTATTTTAATTGATAAAATGAGATTAAGAAGAAAAGAAATATTTCCTACATTTTTATTTGTTAAAGTGATTTTAGAAGAAAGAAAACAAGAATAGTGTTCTTTAATAATATTTTAATTAGGAAGAAGATGTGTTTAAAAAGAAAAAAATAATATATTTATTTGTAAAAGGGCATGTTTGACCCATTTTGTAACTATAGGGGCATTTATGGATCAAAGTATTGACTGCAAGGGTTTTTTTGAGCCAAAATATTGACGGTAAGGACATTTTTGAGCCAAACTATAAACGAAGGACATTTTTATTTTTTTCACATAGTTTAAAGGCATTTTCGACCTTTTTCCCTTAATAAAATTTAATAAAATACACATCTAATTAATTTTTTATAAAAAAATGTTAAATTAACAAAGCCAAATAGTATGAAATGAAATGGGTATATTAACTTAATTTCATGAATGTATTGAGTCTTGAATATTGCTTATATAACATTTAATGAGTTAATGGAGTTAATTCTACGTACCGCTCACAAAACACATTATGTATTCATTATGTTGGTATTCAATATTTGTATTAGAATTCTGACTATCTAAATTCACATCATACAAGATTCATGTAAGGGGAAAATCTCTTTAACTAAAAAATTTTCATACACAAAACTCAACCCAAAATTTCTGATTAAAAGAGAAATTTTACTACCTCTTCCATTCACTTTTACTTTTGCACACTTCTTAAAAATGATTTATACGAGTCACCATAATATTCATATTAATTGGTGTTTCAATCTTTAAAAATAATTTGACGAATATATAAGTCATTAACACTAAATATAAAATATGAAAAAAATATATATATCGTATATTAAAATCGATAACTAAAAATAAAAAAATATTTTAAAAATAATAGACAAGTAAAATTAAATGAATTTTGTTATGTATTTTTTGTGGAATTAATGGTATTTGCAGGGATATATTCTTGGGAATCCAGTAACATCTACTGGTCCAGATTACAAGTATAAGGTACCTTTTGCTCATGCAATGGGCCTAATTCCTGATGAACTATACAAGGTATATATGATTATCATTTATAGTCGTTGTACTATGTATTAAACGTGAATTATATGTAATATATATGTATTATAAATATATTATATTAGTTTTGATTAAAAAAAGTTGCACTATGTATTAAAAATGAATTATGCATGTAAATAGATTTGGATGTATTACACTATATATAAAAATTGATTTTGCATGCAATATAGATGTGTAATAAGTGTCTTAAAATGTATTAGGCTTATTTTGGTTTTTAAAAAAAATGCACTTTTGTATTAAAAGTGAATCATACATGTCATATAAATGTATTAAATTTAGGGAAGCTTACATAAATCCTACTAGTTTAGGAGCTAATTACTTACATAATTCTAGTTTGCAATATTACATATCTTACTAGATTTTGGTGAGTCTAGATATGTTCAAATACATACATCTCGAGATATATGTGGTCAAAATTATGTGTAATTTGTTCTAGATACATTGTATCAAAGTGCATTCACATGTATCTGGGATACATGACAAATCTCGCTCACCTTCTTCCCCATCTCGCTCGCCTCTCTCTATTTCAGTGTATCTGATAGCAAAAATACATGTATCTAATTAGTGGTAAGATACGTAATATTTTCAAAGTATCGATTTGAGTAGTATCACAAAAAGTCAGACAAAACAAAAAAACTTATTTAATGACTAGTGGATTTTATTTTTGTTTTTGTTTTATAGAGAACTAATTAATTAAGTGGGCTTAATTTCTTAAACAGTCATTTGTGACTAATTGTGGAGGAGATTATAGCCATAGTGATTCAACCAACCAACTTTGTTCGAGGGACATACGTACTTTTGATTGGGTTAGCTCTCATTCATTTTTTAAATATTTTTTTGAAAGAGTAATTTTGATAGCCAAATTAATAATTAAGAGCCATTAATATATTAATGCAGTTGATTAAGGATATTTATCAATATAATATCCTAGAGTCCCCTTGTGAACTTGTATCACATGATTCAAGAAGATCGTTGGCAGGGAATGTTCAAAAGCTCAAAAATCTTACTACATTTTTTGGAATTAAATGTCGAGTAAGTTTTTATTATTTTTAAGATTTACTTTAATTTGAATTTTACTGTTTGAGATTTACTTTGATTTTTTCTATGGGTCAAGGTTTAGACTTAGGGTTCTAGTCCAAAGTCAAGGTTGGGTCCCTGCTAGGGTTGACGCTCGAGTGTCGAGTCTTGAGCCGAGGTCAAAGTCGAATCTCAGGCTAAGTTTCAAGTTTTGGGTCAAAGTCAGGTCTCGAGTCCCGATCGGCGTCAGGGTTAGGTTTTGAATTCTAGGTCAAACTCGAGTCTCGATCCCCAAGTCATGGTCACATCTAGGGTCTCAAGTATCAGGTCTAGGTCGGGTTTGGGTCTCTAGTCTCATGTTCCAAGTCAAACTCAAGTCGGGGTCGAGTCTCAAGTATCGAGTCAAGGTCCAATCTCAAGTTCCAAGTCAAAGTTGGTTCTCAAGCTTTGGGTCAAGTCAGCGTCGGATCTCCACTTCTTAGTCAAATTTAGCCCAAAAATAGTATTGGAGAATAAAATTGAACAATTTTGAATACATGGACAAAATTATTTGTTTTCTCGTTATTCAATTATGATAAGAAAATCAGAAGAAACACTTAACAATTTAATTTGTTCCCTCTTTAATTCTTTCTTTAGGAAGAATGGCACGATCTCTCTGTGATTTGGGCCAACAATAAAATTGTACAAGATGCTCTACATGTTCGAAAGGTATGATATTTCGAATATAAAATAATATTTTCTTTAAAATTAAACCTAGATTATTTACTAAAATACAAAATTCATAAACTTCAAAAGACTAGTATAGCATGGGAGAGATGCAGGAACAACTTGTCTTTTGGAACAATTATCAACAATACTGTACCATATCATGCAAATCTTAGTCGTAAAGGCTTTAGATCTCTTATTTACAGGTATTTATTAAACTATATATTATAATCATAAATTATTTAACTTGGTACATATTTTTTATGTATATTAATTTTTGTTGTTTTGACTAGTGGTGATCATGACATGGTTGTGCCATTTAGTTCAACACAATTATGGATTAAATCACTAAGCTATTCAATTATTGATGATTGGAAGCCATGGGTTGTTGATGGTCAAGTTGCAGGGTGAGTTCCTTATAACTTAAATATGTCTTCAATTATATATGTATATTATAATGGTAAGAAAAAAAGGTAAATGTAAATAAAATTAATTTAAGTTTTATTATTGCATAGTTATACAAGAAGTTATTCCAACCAAATGACGTTTGCCACGGTCAAGGTAAGACTAATTAACTTCATCATGATTTCCTCTTTCATACATACATTTATCATTCAATTGTGATTAAGTTATCCGCAACTTATAAAATTGTCAGTAGTTTAGGAGTTAATTATTTAGATACATGTTAGTTTGCTATATTACGAATCTTACCAGATTTTGTTGCGTTCGTATAGTCCAGATATACATATCTCGGGATACATAATCAAAATTAGGTGTAATTTGTTCACGATACATTATATCTAAGTGGATTCACATGTACCTAGGATACATAAATAAATCTCAATTGCCACTTTGTTATGTATTTGATATCCCAGATACTTGTCAATCACACCAGATATATTTATCTAGTGTGTATCTAGAGTGATTCGTATGTATCTAGGATGCATGGACAAATCTCGATAGCCTTTCTCTCTATTTCAATGAATTTGGTAAAATCATGTATCTATGTGTATTTGACTTAAAATATGATATAAATTTTAACTAGTAGTATAAAATATAATTACTTCAAACTATAGGGAGAATTAGTGTATATATATACATTATCAGGACTTTTAGTGCACTTAATCACTTAGTTGAAAGTAACTGCAGTCGTTAGTCAGATATACAAAAATAATTAATAGTATGTATATATATACCGTGCTTGAAACATATATTTACCATGCTTCACTTATTTAAGTAACTTTTATAATTTTATTTGATGCATTTTGCATTCAGGGAGGAGGGCATACGGCCCCTGAGTGGAAACCTGCGGAATGTCTTGCCATGTTAAAGCGTTGGTTATCCCATGTATCACTTTAACTAATTTTTATCATTTATAATGAAACTCTTTTTGAGTCTAAAAGTACTTTTTATAGGATTTTAGTTACATATACTAACTGTATAATATATTTTTATGTCATTGGCTTAATCTAGTTGGCTATGCTAGGTTGTTACTATCAGAGTATATATATATTATGATGGTATTAAGAATGAAGAAGCAGTGGTTCAGTGACTAGAACAAAGGAGCAGTCGCGTAAAATTTATCATGCTTCACCCATTTAAATAACTTTTGTAATATTATGTGATGCATTTTGAATTCAGGGAAGAGGGCATATTGCCCCTGAGTGGAAACTTGTGATACTCAGTTACTATATTGATACCATATTGATATTATATAGGACTGAACTTAATCCTCTATGATACTCCATCAGTATATTGATACCTTATCAATGTCATATAGGATTGGACACCTTTTTAAAGAAATAAATAAGAAACAATTAAGAGAAATTATTAAAGTCACAATCTTATTTATTAAACTTTAAATTAGTAGAAAATATATTATTTGTGATACTCCGTCGGTATATTGATACCATATTGTAGGGGTGTACATGGCCGGGTTGATTCGGGTTTTTCAAATATCAAATCAAATCATTTGTATAAATTTTTTAAATTTATAAATCAAACCAAACTGATAAACTCGGGTTTTTCGGGTTTTTCAACCTCGGATTGGTTCAGGTTTTTCAAATACCAAACCAAACAATTGTGTCGAATTTTTAATTTTTTAAATCAAACCAAACTAATAAATCTAGGATTTTTTTCAGGTTTTTGGGTTTTTCTGATAAAGTGTGCATACAAACATATAATTAACTTGTGCTTCAAATATCTCTTTAGTCCAACCAAAATACAGTTATCTAAGGTGTTTCTTAAGAAAATAACACAAAATATGAGATGAGTGATGACACAAAAATATTCAATAAAAAATAATAATGAAATCATCATATAAAATAAATATTGCATAGTCATAGTGAAAATGATGCTAATTTAAAAGTACTAAATCATTCTAAAATAAGTCTAATAAGTATTAGTTACATGATTAAAAATGAAAAAAATAATAATTGTATTTTAAATGTCTAAACCAATGTAAAACTAAAGAACAAATATTCAACATTATTGTCATTCTTAGTGTTGAATTAATTTATCATGTTAGCATAGTATTGATTTGATTTCGGATTGAGCTTTATTGTAGTTACTAATATCTACAGACTATAACTTTTATTGGACCATTCAAAATTCTAAGTTTAAAAAACTTGAAAAATATGTTAAAAGATAAAAATTATGAAAACATATAAGTAATATTTAGAAATTACATCAAAGTAAATACTTTCATGTGTAAAATAAATTTTAAAAATTAATGTCGGGTTGGTTTGGTCTCGGGTTGACTATTTTTAGTTAAAACCAAACCAACCCAAGTATAATTGGGTTTTTTTTTAATACCAAACCAAGTCAAACCAAACCATTAGTTGGTTTTTTTTTTCTAGTTTGACTCAATTTGCGGTTTGATTCGGTTTTCGGTTTGATTTTGTACACCCCTACCATATTTGTATAATATAAGACTAAGCTTAATCCTCTGTGATACTCCGTCGATATATTGATACCCTATTGGTTTCATATAGGATTGAACTCTTTTTTTTAAGAAATAAATAAGAAACAATTAAGAGAAAATTATTCAAGTCGCAATCCTATTTATTAAATTCTAAATTAGTATAAAATATATTTATATATATTTTTAAATTAAAATATTAAAGAATTGAAACACACCTCAATGATACCGCGATAGTATATAGATATATCGTAATGGTATCATGGATGATTGAGTAATTTCATCGAAAAACTGAAGTAAACCTCAATAAAAATATTGTTCAATTACACATTAATACCACGAGAGTATATTATACTTTGATGATATCAAAAAGAGAGAAGCAGTCCTTCGGTGAAGATACTCGATCTCTCTTGCAACTTCATGGTCTGTCATAGTTGAACCATTAACAAGAACTTTCATTGCCACATGAATGCCACTTGGCACATGATTCAACTCAATGAATGAACTGAGTTGACTCTCGTACAATTGAATAAATGCAACCATAAGTTAATTAATTTGGGCAATTCATGTTGTGGTAAGTCTCATAGTTTTATCCTTGAATTTGAACATGTGACCTCTAATTCTGAATGAAGGAGTACACTCCAACTTATTGGCTGCAGGGGGGGGGGGGGGGGGGGGGGGGGGGGGGGGGGGGGGGGGGGGGGGGGGGGGGGGGGGGGGGGGGGGGGGGGGGGGGGGGGGGGGGGGGGGGGGGGGGGGGGGGGGGGGGGGGGGGGGGGGGGGGGGGGGGGGGGGGGGGGGGGGGGGGGGGGGGGGGGGGGGGGGGGGGGGGGGGGGGGGGGGGGGGGGGGGGGGGGGGGGGGGGGGGGGGGGGGGGGGGGGGGGGGGGGGGGGGGGGGGGGGGGGGGGGGGGGGGGGGGGGGGGGGGGGGGGGGGGGGGGGGGGGGGGGGGGGGGGGGGGGGGGGGGGGGGGGGGGGGGGGGGGGGGGGGGGGGGGGGGGGGGGGGGGGGGGGGGGGGGGGGGGGGGGGGGGGGGGGGGGGGGGGGGGGGGGGGGGGGGGGGGGGGGGGGGGGGGGGGGGTTGTGGTGTTGGGTGGGGGGGGGGGGGGGGGGGGGGGTCCATTCGGTATTGATATTCAGATTCAATTATATCTGAATTCGATTATAAAGTGTTTCAACAAAAATAATTTTAATTTTCTAAGTTCAAACACAAGATCTATAACTAAAGATGAAAAGATATACTCCACCACAACTTATTGGTATAAAGCAATTGTTTTAATTTTTTTTATTCAATATTCATACTGAAATTTGTTTAAATTAGAGTTTGCATTGAGAAATCTCATATAAAAAGTAAAATACTTATAACAAAACTGATTTCATAATTTGAAATCGAACCTGATGCATGAAAGAATCCACTACATCAAAACATGTTTGGTATATATGAAGCAATTAATTTAGTTTGTAGGGTAACAATAATATACCAACATATTATTTGCAATTGCTTTTTGCACACTAACATTAAATACGTTTTTGACTTATGCTATACTTTTTGTTACTCCTATCAAGTATATACATACTATTGTTAGTTGTTCTATGAAATAAATTTTGAAGTTATGTTTAGCAGCTAAGAATATTAATTTGGACAATTAATGTTGTGGTATGTCTCATAGTCTTATCCCTCAATTTAATTATAGAAAGTTATTTTTTTTAATTATAATAATAATTAATAAAGATGTTGGTGATAACAAATGGTAATGTATTTTCTTAAAAGGTATAGACGAAGAACGGATGGAGAACGATTGGAGAACAGTTTCTCCGTAGATCTTCCTCAAGTATCAAACAATCAATTCAGAATTGATACGGATAAGTAGCTATTCATTTTTTCGGAGGCCATACATATGCTTTTCATTGTAAATCTAGCAAAACACTCTATAACCATTTATTTCTAATTGGATGGTGTTGAATAATGATGATTGTGCTGTAGGGTGATCAAAAGAATTGTTCGTTAATTCTATTAATAATAGATTAGTGATAGATTATGAAAATTATTATTGATTATGAGTTATTTAGTGATGAAATTCATAGTTAATTTCGATTGTAAATCATTTTGTGATATTCTCTATTAAGAAAATTAAAAAATATGACAAAACATGACAATCTATAGACTTAATTGACAACCCATTTTATTTTTTTAGCAAAACTGTAAAATAAAATTATTTGGCACTAAATAGCCACATTTTTTTGGTTAATATTGAGTTGATGGTTCGTTTTATTGATTATTAAATCTATATAGAATAAGGCCAACGGCCCAAAAGAAATTAAAAGAAGCAATACAAAAGTCAAACAACTATGTGGCCCATTTCTTTCCCACCCCAGTGTCACGTCCCGCCACATCATAGTTAAGGAATTCTCTAGAATAACTTAGATTTTTTAAGAAAGTCTTTGGAAAATCCTAGAAAGTGTAGAACTCTCTAGAAAGGGGACCAAAGTGTAAATAAGTTAGAGACTTGTAAGTAGTTTTAAATTACACTTAGGCCCTTATGAGTTAGTATAAATAGGGGGTACCATTCATTTGCAAGGCATCCAAGTTTGAGAACAAACATCCAACAAAGTGTAAACAATTTTCCAAGCAATATAAAGCTTTCTTCCAAATCTTTCTAAGTTTTTCTTTGCATTCTCTTAGTGATCTTAGTTTCAAAGGGCTTACTTGAACTTACAAGATCGTGAAAGATTAGTGAGTAAGTTATCAAGTGCCGCACGGAACTTTAGTGAGATTCTAAGTCCGTGACACCAGTACAATCACTTTTCTATTCTCTAGGGTTTCTCAATTGAGCTTGCTCTCCAAATATATCGCTCATGTCGCCGCGTGGGACTTTCACCAATTTGACCTTCCTTTTCCTGTTGCATTGGATTATCAATCCTTTTGTCTTGCTGTTCTCTGATCCTCTTCTCAGCTCACAAGGGTAAGCTTTAATTGTTTCTTCCTCCTGTCCTTTTTCTGTCTCCCTTCTAACTTTTATTCTACTGCCTACGAGTGTTCTGGTGGATGTTTTGAATTTCCAAGGAGATTTTCGTAGAGGTGCCAAGTTAATGAGTTGCGAACCCAACTCTAAGTAAGCTCATTTCTTTATTTCGGTGTTCCTCTTGTTCCCCAACCCTCTCTAACTTTCTTTTTTCTAGCTGAAGTGTTTGTGTAGATTTCAAGATGCTCCCGTTCTCCTTTCAAACAAAAGGAGATCGATTAGGGTATCGCAGTTGAGCGGACAGGCGACGGGAGAAAATTGAAGGAGTTCCTTCCCAGCCAAAGTTTCTCAAGTCTCCATCTGACTTTCAATTAAGCTTTTGTCTTTTGCGGGTGCAATTTTTTGTGAGTTCACATAGTCTCTAAGTAGCTTAAATCTTACATTTATATAAGCCCTGAAGTGATAAATTTTGCTGATGTAAGTATCATAGATGTGAGACATTCTGATGTTAATATTGCTCTGCATTTGGTAGATCTCATGTGTTCTTGTTTTGATTCTTAGCATAGGTATCCTTGATTTATCTTCACTGATTATCCCCATGCATGTTTCTATTAACTGTTGAAAGCTACTCCATTGACTTAGCCTTGATGTTCATTTGCAAATTTATTTACCAATTGATTTGTCTTCCTGTATACATGTTTAATTTATGCTTGAGTGCTCAACATTAATTCCTGAATCTCCTTTTATCTCTCTGCTTGTTCCAAAGAAACTTTTTTTCATTCTTGTTTTATTATCTTTGTTAATACCAATGAATCTGTTTCTACTATCACTTCTTTATGTCATTTCTTCTGCAGTACATTTAAGATTGCTCCTGTCTCACCCTCCATATTACTTCTTATGCCCATCTGTGCTTGCACTTCATCCGTTCATTCATTGATATTTTTCACATGACTGTATGAGAGTGTAGTCTTCACCTGTATCCTTTTATTCTTTCCAAGAAGTCTTCCCAATTTCTTGATATGTCAATTCAAGAATATAGTGTCTTGATAAGATGAAACACAGTTTCTTGACATTTATAATATGACACGTCCTTGTCATGTCTTCTAGTATTCCTCCAAAATTTCATATCTCCCACATTAGAATTGCTGGAACTGTTTGATATAGGACTTTTAGCATATATTTATTTATTGTTAGTTCCCTTCCATGCCTATTCTTGCACATGTAGCAAACTGCTTTTTATAATTTTTAAGCTACGGAAGTTGTTAGAAATAAATGAGTCATAAGCTCTTCTTGCGCTGTAGACTCACAACAATAGCATTTGAAGGTAAAATTGATCCTCATCTTTTGTAATTCTCCCTTTCCAACATTTCCATAAAAGGAAGTTCATTTTGAAAGGTATACCTAAATAGTCACATTTCATTTTTTAGAAAGTGATTTTTTTTCATGATTTTCTCTCTCTATTACGTAACATTTTTTTTTTATTATTCTTTTTTTTCTCTCTCCTTATAATTCGTCAACCGTATTTTTCATTATCAAACCAAAAATGATTGCACAAAAATAGAGCGAAAGCTATATTATATATTTTTTAAAGTATAATATTTTTCTCTTTTTCTCTTTTTTTTTCTTCTTTCAAGTTTTAGAATTTATATCTTCTTCCCGAAAGTATCTCTATTAGAGACCTATCACAATAGTAACCCCATTAGAGATCCATCACAATTTTTTTTATATTGAATGTCCATGTTATTTTGTAAAAAAGCTGAGAATTTTTATATTCTTTATCTTGTAGTTGGATGTAAGATTATTTTTTTCAATTTTTTTTGTTTTTTGCAGCGTTTTCTTCCCTCAATAATATTAAGACTAAAAATTCATGCACGTAAAATTCAAAGAATATTCATCATCATCATAGTGAAACTACATGTATTCAAAAAGTGTCAATTGATACCACTTCACTGAAAAGGTATACTATATAGATAGGTAATTTTTATTTATTTATATACAATTATTTATTTAATCCCTAAACCTACTCGTATATTTATCTTTTTTATTTATTTAACACCCCTTAAAAAATTTAGTTCCACCATTTTAATCAAAGTGTAATCTTAAGTTGATACTCGGAACAAAAAAAAAATAGGCAAGTAAACCTCACCCCGCATAAATCATTTGCAATAGTCATTTCCATTTTTAACTTGTAGAAAAAAATCAGAGAAAAAAAAATTTACAATTTTTTTTTGACAAAACAAGATTTTGAAAAAAAAATACTCACTTTCTAAAAGTATTTTGTTTTCTTGTTCTAAAGGGATCAAAACACTCTTTGATTGTCCATTTTCAAAAATCAATGGAAGATTCAATGATGAATGAAACAGAAGCGTTGGTGGTTTCACTACTTGGTGAAATCTCACAGCTAAGAAAAGTCAATTTCTTGAATTTGATTATTTCGTCAATTGAAATTCCAAAATTGAAGCATCCTTCAATTATATTCCTCTTCCATTTGAATCTGACTAAACATTTGAAAGTCTTCTTTGATGGTTGTAATGAATGGGGCATCATCAAAACAAATGGAAGAAATTGATTGAAATGGTGGAGTATGTCCATCACCATGTATGAAAACTTGTTGAAATTTGTGAATCAATCATGATTTAAACTTATAGAGTCCACAAAGATAAATATTTGATTTTTGGGTTGGTAGAAAGGTGTGGATTCTATAAACTGAACTCATGATTGATTCACAAATTCTAGCAACTTTCCATACAGGGTGATGGAATGACTCCATCGTTTCAACTCATGTCTTCCATTTGTTTTGTTGATCCCTCCATCCATTACATCCATTAAAGAAGACTTTTAATGTCCAGTTAGATTCTAATGGAAAAGAAATTTAAGGATGCTTTTATTTTGGACCTTCAATCGATGAAATTATCAAGTTCAACAAAGGGCTTTTCTTAGTTGTGGGATTCCACCAAGTGGTGAAATCATCAACACTTCTCTTACATCCACCATTAGATTTTTCATCGATTCTTGAAAATGGACAATCAAAAAGTGAATTTTGATTCTTTTAGGACAAAAAAAAAAGCACTTCTAGAGAGTGAGTGTGTTTTTTCAAAACCTAATTATGTCTAACTTTTATGCAAAAGCTTTTTTCTCATTTTCTACTTAAACATAGAAATGACGGTTGTAAATGGTTTATGCAAAGTGCGGTTTACTTGCCTAGAACTTGTTTATCATTTTATGAGTATCAACTTAAGCTACCTTGACTAAAATAGAGGAACTAATTTTCTAAGGAGTGTCAAAAAAAAAGAGAGAGTAAATATACAAGTAAAATTTGGGATTCCACCTACTCTTAGAAAGAACACTATTTTTCTTTAGTTAGGTAGTTCTCCTGATCGTAAGACCTTTTATGAGTAAGTTTATTCGAAGGCCAGGAAATATTTATTGGCAAGAGGGAACCATTTTGCACCCAGCCCTACCTACCCTATGTATTCGAGTGAGAGGTTGGAACAGAAAAAAACCAGGTTCCACACATACGAAACAAACAGAAGGTATGGGACAAACAATTTCTTCAAGAGCGAATTCGATCCTATAATCGTCCAAAAAAAAGATCCAGAGTGATTCATCACTTATCCTATCAAGGGACCAATGGAACGCTCGAGTATAGATTTCCTATGTTCATGTAAACGCTCGAGGCCGGCCAGTCTGTATATCTTAATTAATCCATAGGCTTGACCGGATATCATTTGTCCACAAATGAAACAAAACAAGGCTATTTTTTTAGTAGTGTTCATGAGACCTCGAATTCTCACGTTCCAACGTGCATTATGCCAACAGGTCCCACCACCAACTCTACCTAAGAAGTTGAGTAAAAAAAAAATTCCAGAACTCTCGAATTCCACAATTTCACAATTTAGGCCTGAAATCCTCAAAAAGATTCTAAATCTGAAACCGAGAACTCTCACTGATCAGATTTCATATTTTGGGACTGATGAAATCGACAAAATTTCATTCCGACATTCGAAACTCCAAAAGACCCCAAAAATCACTTTCTTAACAACTTAGTCTTTCAAACTCAAAGCTTACAAAATTCTCAACTTTTAACTTAAAGTTCAAAGAACAACTTTTCAAACTCAATCAAAGAAGACTCGGGTCAATCATGGGAGGGCAAAATGGTAAATTCATGAAACTTTCCAAAAATGACTGACCAGGTCATTACAGATCTAGCCAGAAATTTCAAGTCACTATTCAAAAAGTTTTCTTACCCAGTTCTATGGAGCATTAGATTTGTATAAATCATAGGCAGACATCTCGTTTGTATAAAAGCGCAGCGATTATATATGTATATCGGTTAGATAAAAGTATATATGTAACTACTATATGTATATGTATCAATGATTGTGTTTGTATATCTGCATAAAATTTGAATTTGTATACAATTGAATCGAGTTAAAACATAAAATATTTGTATATCAAATCTCTCTCTCTCTCTCTCTCGTTTTATAAAACACAAATTGTAAAACACAAATTGTATTTGTATAAAGCGAGAAAGAGAGCAAGGCAAAAGAGAACCGATAGGGGAAGATCTGTATTTGTATAATTACAAGTGTATAGGACGAAGATATATGTATTTGTATATACAGTTTTCTCTCGATTTATACAAACACAAATGCAATTTATACATTTGTGTTTGTATAAAGTGAGAGAGGCGAGGGAGAGTGGCGAGCGAGATCAGCGAGAGTGGCAAGCAAGACCTCTGGGGAGAGAGGAGACTGACAAAGTGTTTGCTACGGATTAAAATTAAATGAAACTATAGTTATAACATTTAATTTTAATTAATAGTTTGCTATTTTATACAATTTTCCCTTAATACTATGAGGTATTAAGAGATATTAATATATGAGGTAATATTTTTACTTTAATATATTTTATTTAATATTATGTTATTTTTAATACATTATATTTAATTAATACAACCTATCAAACAGTAAAATAAAAAAATATCATCATATAACTAAAATTCAATAATATCAGTACATTTTAGTTAACTATTTTTATATACAATACCAAACGACCCTGCATTTAGCAACACCTACGCATGCTCCACTACAAAAAGAAAAAGGATATATACTATTTTTATTTTTACATATAGTAAATTATGATATTAATATATGAGGTAATATTTTATATATATATATATTTATTTATTTATTTATTTTTCTAATTAAAAATTCTCAAGAACAAAAGCGCCTTATACGACAACATAATTCAACATTATTTAGTTTACTTAATTTTCCTATTGATTTAATAAGAAAAAATTTGAGCTCTTTGATCATTTCAATCTTATCTACTTCATAGTTTATATATGTTGCAAAATTCTTAAACCAAAATATTATTAGACAAATACAATAAATTTAGGTCATATTTTATAAAAATACTAGATAATTGAAGGCCCGTTCACAAGTCCAAGATAATTAATTATCTTTTTAATTTTAATTTAATTTTTTTTCACCTAAATTCGCATCTTATTTTATTATAATTTCTAAAATTTCCTAGCATTTAAAAAAATCAGAAAAATCCCCTCTCAGATACATCCCTATCCTTTGTTAGATACATCACTATCTCCTCTCGGATACATCTCTATCATCTCTCGAATACATCTTTATCCACTCTTGAATACATCTCTATCCTCTCTTGGATACATCTCTCTCCTCTAGGATACATCCATATTCCCTCTTGAATACACCCCTCCCCTCTCGGATTCATCTGTGAGCTATGTGTCTGCAAGTTCTTTGAATAGCAATGTATCACGACAGATGTATCCGCATGTCAGCTGATGTATCCGAAATTTTTTTATTCTAATAAATTTTTGTAATTTGAAAAAGAGTAGGGATATAATGTAATTAGCTCTTAACTATGAAAATTTATATAATTTTTACTTTAATTTATGTGACATTATTTTTCTTTGTAGTCAATTTCAAAAGAATGATGTATTAATATATTTAATAACATTTTGACTTTAAAATATTCATTTTATTCTTAGTAAGATGATTTATAGTCATATGAACATTTATGGTTTATTTTAGACCACAGGCTTTAAAAGTGTTTTTTTTTTAAAAAAAAAATCTTGTTAAGTCAAATAAACATTACATAAATCGAAATGGAGTGTCACGACCCAGACCGTTGTGATTGGCACCCACACAAACCCTCCGGTGGGAGAACCATTACTACAACCCAAACAAACAAATTTTATGAAAACTAAGGCATTTAAAGATACGGAAGAAGGTTTAAATGACTATAAAAATGGAGTCCCCATAAACTTCAAGGTTTTAACAAACAACTAACCAAGCTAATGCGGAAGAACAACCCCTAGAACCTGAAAGTCATTGTACCAAAACTCTACTAATGACAAGTCTAAGAACAAGGGGTACAACCCCGAAACTAAACAAACGCCTTAAACAAATAGTCTGAGTTCGAAAAGAATGGAATTAAACAAGAGAGATCCATGGCAGCCTGAAAGAACTAGCTCACCCTTGAATCCGATCACGATCAATAGTCACTTAGCTGAGGTCTATCAATAACCGCCTGAAGATGCCCTGTACTCAACAAAGAACAAGCAAGTGCAGTATCAGTACACAACCACAATGTACTGGTAGGATCACGCGGCTATCTGAATTATCTACCCCTCTGAAGATACCTCTTTAGCCTTAAGAATCCAATAAAATATTCTTTCTCTTGCCTCTCTCTAAAGGTTGTACTACATTATACTATATTTTCCTTCATTATAACTCTAGCTCTTTAACTTTTTATTCGAGTGGTGTCCTACCATCTCTTATAATCTTCCATACAACCACGTTACTCACCAAGTTTTAGAAAACCACGACCTTGGATACTCACAAGTCGTAATTACTATACAAAAATTTACTTAACCAACAATTTTATTATATGGTTGCATCCCGTCACAATCCATCACGAACTCTTAATGCCATTACGCTCCGTCAACCTTGACTATCACTACGAAGTCAACCTTTTTCATCAACATGACTCCCCAAACTGAGGTAAACTCATCAAATTCAAAGGACTATTTGTCACGACACAGGGTACCCACTAGACGTAACATGGCGTACTTGACCCCGAAGGGGTTGCATACAAGCCCTTAGCATATCTTGAACATAAGATAATAGAAAATACAGGAAAATTTAAATTTTACAATCGAAGTCATTTTCATAAAAATCAAGCGGAAGTCTTTCTATACTTTGTCTCAAACCATCTATTAAATCTTGAATAAAACTCTTGGGACACAGCCCATACAAAGTCTAAACCATAAAGAAATGACATAAAGGAAATATGGGTTTGTCCTCAAAGCTATGAAGACTCACCAAATCTTCAACCCTTCTTGCACCTTAGAAACCTAGCCTCCAAAGCAACTCAATCTCTAAAACCCTACATTTGATTAGAATGTAGGCATTATGCATTAGTACAAAATGTACCAAGCATGAAAGCTAGCACAACATCATAAGAGCATCTCAAATGGTTAGTCAACATAAGACATAAGCATAAGAGACAATAACATGATCATAGCATAATCAACATAGTCATAGCATAATCTCCAACATAAGCATCATATAACCATAAGTCAATATAAGACATAGTTAAAGAGCATGGGAGATACATCATAATCCTAATAAGCCAAGTCTTCAACATACGCATTATATAAGCATAATTTGACTCCTAGTCATCTATTCCATAATAGCACCATTCTCAAGTAACCTTAAAAACATATAAGTGTAAGACATGAATAACATCCCATAATACCACCCAAGCCAAGTATCCTTTTTTGGTCATCTTAATCATAATCTATGTACATGGTCAACTCTTAAGCATCTCTACCATAAGGGCACCATACTCCTAAGTAACCTCAAAGCACACTTGTGTAATGTATGAAAGGCATCCCATACTACCCTTCACACTAAGCATAGCCTTGAATTCATCTTAGTCATACTCACCCTCCTTTGATCTCATTATTAGCTTAACTCCCATAACTAAGGGAATCTGTCACCTTTAGTCAACTATAGCTAGGAAGGGCAACTATAGCACAATCCTATCTCAAGACTTCTCTTTAAACCTTGGAACACTATGAGGTACTTCCTTAAGCACATCTAAGTTCATTACTAACATGGATCCTATGAGACACTTACTTAAGCATGTTTAAATCCATTTGTACTTTGAACACTATGAGATACTCTCTTAAGTATGTCTAAGTTCCTTTTTTACATGGACCATATGAGATACTACCTTAAACATGTCTAAGTCCACTTATACTCGTGAACACTATGAGGTACTTCATTAAGTAAGTCTTAGTTCAATTATGCTTTAGAACACTATGAGATACTTCTTTAAGCATGTCTTAGTTCATTGGATATGGAAATTGCTACTAGAAACCTTAACTCAACTACATGAAGGCTCCCATCTCATGAGACCTAACTTTGGGAAAATTCACACTCTACTACGTAAGAGTTCCCCCTTTTTACTTGGATAGTCCTCACATCAACTAGGTGTGGTTCTCCTTTCTACTTGGAGCCCGGACCCTATCTTGTGTGACACTCCATCTCATTTTCAATATCCACTTGGAGCCAAGCATACCCCAATATTTTCTTGTTAAGCCTTGCTTAACACTCATATCTCATGGAAGGATGTTTTTGACAATCAATCCATGTTCAAGTGATTCCATCACTTTATACTTTTAAGCATTCATAAGGTAGTTTAGGTGAGTATAGGTCTTTCACTACAATTCTACCTATTAGACTTCTATTCTCTTTTAGACTTTACTCTCAAAGCCTTAGCATTAATAGGAAATGACATTAGTTTCACCCTAAAGCCATAGATATTATGATGACAAGCCTTACTCTCAAGGTTTCTTTTTTAATCTCTTCTTTATACCTAGATTTCAAGGTATTTTGATCACATCTTTCATTACTAGGTAATTCAAGTCTCAATTGATCATAAAGGTTCAATTCTAACTTACAAGTCAAGATCAATCATATTCAATAAGGTCTAGTTCAATTCATGATTATATGCTCCTAACTTTGAACAATTACTACACATGCCATTGATTTAGGAATGTTGACCCCCAATTTTGACCTTCCCCGATAATAATTGATTTCCGAGCTTCTTAATTTCCAAACGATGTGGAATAAATAGCCTTATAAAATTCAAATAGTTTCAAAGTTATTTTAAGTAATTTCAGTAGATTTTTATAATTTTGAATAATAAATATATTCCATATAATTAGTACATTTTATGAATATTCGAAAATCATATCAAAAGATTTTTACTTTGTTAAGATAAATATTTTA